TACTGAAGTTTTTGCACATTTTTAATTTGCGTGAGGTAGTTTTTATCTCCTAACTGCAGATTAGCAACAGGAGGGCTTCAAAGCATGCTATACTAAAAGGAGCAACAGTATGGCAGTAAGGGACTTCTAACCCCGTTATATAACTTGAGTCCTCTTTTTCCCAGGATTTTGACCTACCTTTGTCTCCAGTTGGATCTTCTTAGTTCTTGGTTAGAATTCAGTTTTGAGGACTTATGGGTCTGAAGGTAAGAGCCTAGCCAGCACAACTGCTTCAGGAACTGCAGTGGGTAGCTTCTCAGGATCTGTCTTGAGAAACTAATGGGTCCTAGATCAGTCAATGGGGGACATCCATAGGAGGCCTTGTAGCAGGATGAGGTCTGAGAGAGTTCCAGAAGCGGATAAATGTGAAAGTTGAAAACTTGTCCCATTCTGAGAATGAGCTGCCCTTTTCTGTCTCCTTCTCTTTCCTTTCAGAAGTTTGAAGGAGACTCGAGACCGGGGCGGAAGAGAAAAGGGAGCTTTTCAAATCTAGGAGTAGAGAATAGCAACTTGAGATACTTGCTCAGAATTTTCTATTGTGGTTGATCTGTGCAGACCAAAAGCTGTTCAGAGCTCAGGTGGTCAGAAAATGCTTAAAATCAGAAATCTTGCCCATTCAAACTTCACTTGCTGTCACTGGTTTGCATACTGTGGAGTCTTAGCAGCTCCTGCTGTGGATTAGAAACAATAGTTGTGTACTGCTTTAAAAACAGAACAGAGAGGCTGTCCCATCCCATAGTTTGCATTCAAAGTATGACGCATGAGTGGGAGCCTTGAGACATGGGAAGGAACACTTAAAAAGCTAACCAGAGAATCCTGTTCTCCCTCCTGAGAGGAGGTGTAGGTGTGGGAGCCAGAAGGAAGTCTGGTTAAAATCTGTAGCAAAATAGCTGAGACCCTTCTCATGTTAGTCATCAGGCTGCGTTTTTTTCTCTGCTGAAGCATCTTCCAATCAAAGTGAAGGGAGTATTGGGTTGGGGGGGGAGAAGCAAGACCACTAGGAAATTCTTCCCTTTGCGTTTTAAATTAAAACCATCTGCTTCCTTCTGTGCATCTCTAGATGATATCATTGGGCCAGAATGGGAAACTCCCATGAAAATCAAACATTTAGAAGACTGGTTAAAACAGGGTATTAAGTTGCGTTTAGATAGGCTATCCTGATGAATGCGCTCGAGCAAATGTGGTATGGCAGGTGAGGAGGTCTTTCCAAGTAGAGCAGACGCATTTTCCAGAAGACTTTTGAAAGGAAGAGAGAATTCGGTTTTGGGAGGTAACTTTAATGTAGTTTTGTGGCAGAAGAGCCAAAAACCCCACAACTTGAGTGCGGCTTGCGTGTTCTCTTTGTAGCATTAGCTTGTTAGAGTGACTGTAGCTTTGTGGATGCTTCAGGTTTGGATAGATACCTTCATTTTGTTTTTACATCTCTTGTTCAGCTCCATGAGAGCCTGTGTTAAGGCAAATGCAGGCTGGAGCTGAAAAGGAGGAAAAAAAAAGGGGGGGGGGGGGGAGTTCTGACTAAAGTATTTGTGCTGGAAAGTAGCCCAGAGAGAGTAAAGGAGAAGCTTTAATTAGAAGCAGCTGCATAGCTGATGCAGCCCACAGGCCATTTTCCCATTTCAAATTCTCTAGCTTTCAGAAATCATGATTTGAATTAAGTAGTATGTGAAATTTGTTCTGAAACAATTAAATTCCTGAGAGAGCTCATGTATTTCCAGAAAGTGCCAGAACAAACTTCAACTTCATTTTCTTGTTTCTGAGTATCAGATGGAAAACTGAGGAGAAACAGTGGCTTTTATTTGGGAAAAGATTTGGTTTCCTGTTCTGAGCATGTCTTTTGGAGCTGACACAAGCTGCTACAATTTTAAGCTGCTCTGGTAGACAAGTGGCTTTTTTTTTTTTTCTTTTTTTGAAAACTTGGAAGAGTGACTTGGAATGAGAACCGAGTCAGGGTAGTGGGGGAAGCTGGAGTTGCTGCTGAGGTTCTGAATAGAGTATATAATCATATCTTTTAAAAAAGACTGGACTTAGACCCAGATTTTTTAGTGTTTGCCTCTATTTTTATAGAAACAATTTGGTGTCTGGAATGAATAGAGGGCAAATATTTGCAGTTTTGTCTATACCAGCATTTAGAACTAAATTACTGGTACTTGTGCCTGCAAATATTGTTGACAGATGTGGCTGAAAATCTGGACTGTAGTGTTTTTGTCCTTTGACACTCAAAGGAGTGCACTGAATTGCTGGCAGAGAAAATTGGATAACTCTGTGATCAAGCACTTAACCACACAAAGAGAAGAAAAAGGTGGGTGTACAGGCTGTGTATGCCTGACCTACCATCTTGCCACAGGCAGACATTTTCCCTCTGGCATATTCTGTAGTACTTCTTCCTATCCAAATAGGATGAGCTTGAGTAAAAAGAGCTTTTGCCTTTCCCGCTGGAGTGTTTCTCATGTTTTGCTGATCAGCCTTAGAAGATACTGGAACAAGTCTGGTCTTGGAGCATTCTTCCACTTTGTACCAGAACAATAACGTACTAAACGTGGGGATATTTGTGGGTGAGGGTTGTAAGTGTCATCTTGGGGCATAGGTCCGCCCTTTCCTTTTAAAACATACCCCCAATGCTCTTACTTGGTGTTTAGACTCTCTCCTCGCTGTTATCTAGGGGTAAGTTAAATGCATGTCAGCCTGTTGCTGCATGCTGGGGGGTGGGAGAGAAGGCTGCAGTGAAAGCAGCAGAGTGTGGCCTAACTGCTGACCTGGTCAGTGAAAGCGTTTCAAGATTTAGCTTTTAGGTGTGTTTTGGTTAACTTTGTGTTTGTTGGAGGGGTGGGTACTGTTGGAGGGCCTCTCGTTTGCCCGCTGAGATGCCCTAGGTGGGGTTCTGTGGAGTTCTCGTTTGTTGCTGCTCTTTTTGTGTTAGAGAGGACTTCATTTGGTGTACCCTGTCTCTGCTGTAGTTAATGTGAGGAGCCTGGTGCTTTGCTGATGGTGACCGAGACTGAGCTGCCCAGACCCCACGTCCTAGCTCAATGGGGATGGTGAAAACCAGAAGAAACCCCTATAACGGAAGCTTGTAGGCCTTGGGCTGAAATTCGGTTTGACCTTATGCATTCCTCAGCTGTTTATAGACGTCCAGAAACATCATTTAATTATAGTTATCTAGGTTGGCTCTGAGCAGAGCTATCTATCGAGTGCACTGCATGCAGGCTTGAATGCCATGGGAGTCTAGCAGACCTGCAGCTTCTGGTACAGGAAAGTTGGCTGGTGCCAGGTTTTGGTTTGGTGCCAGGTACTGATTTCTAGCCCATATCCAGGAGTGATTTGGGATGTTAAAGGAAATCTGTAGAACTGCCCATAGTTTAGGCCCAGAATATATGAAGACTGCCTTTTGTGTGGTGGGACAACAGCTCGTGCTGACTGAGAGCCTGAAGCTGTTGCACCAAGGATGGTGCAAGAGTTGGAGGATGTTCTCTAAATGGTATTCTGTCCAAGTTTGCTTTGTGTAACTTCATTAATCCTGCCTTGCCCTCTAAATCTCCGCTTCCATGTCAGTTCTTGAGTACAAAGTTGAAAGTATTAAGGCATGGTGAAAGGAGTCTAATTTGGGTGTGGGGAACAGTAAATTATGATTACACACAGCTATTATATGATTTAGTTGCTTTAAACTTATGGCTAAAGCTAGTTAATAGATTTAAACATGAGAAAAAACAGTTGTGGTCATCTAGTAATGACCTCTTGCATAACTCAGATAATGCTTCTCTGAATAGCTATGTTTGCACTAGCGTGTGTGCTGTTTCTAAACATCTAACTTTTTTTTTTTTTTTGAACAAGCATGAATGACGGAGAAATTCCACTGCAGCCTTAAATACATTGTTCCAATGGCTTGCTCTCACTGTTGAGAGACTGTATACACGTATGTGTACGAAGACAGAGATTCTACCCTATTTCTAATTTGAATGTATTTAACTTGAACTAGCTGCTGAGTCCTGTTATTCCTGTACTTTCTAGACTGGGAATTATTGTTAAATCTTAGCTTCTTTGTGTGTACTTACAGCCTTTGATTAACTGTCTTGTTCCCTTTTCCCTTTGATAAATAGACTTGATGCCATGAAAGGCTCAGGTTGCTAAGAATTTTATATATATATATCATTACTTTTTGCTTCTTTGAATGTATTTGAGCTCTTAAAGAGCAGACACCAGCACTATAGAGTGGTCCAGTTAACGGTTGTGCCATGAAAGGATCAGATGTAACATAATGTCATTTACTCCCACTTGATATTTGCTCTTTGTACATCTAAAGTTTTTCTGGCCAAACTGGCACTTTGGGAATTCACATTCAGCTCACTGTTAGGAAGCCCGAGACCAAGTCTTTCTTTGCTGGATTAGTGCCCTGTTTTGGGGAAGGTGTTTTACATATTTTGTTTCTAGATGCGTGACTTTGTAGAAGTAAAATGCAAGTTGCAGGCTGACTGGCTTACTCAGCAGTGTGTGCTGTTCTCTGTCAAGAACTTGTCTTCTGTCTTGCCTGCATGTTTGACCGGCACTGATGTTTTCAGTTATTATTCATTGATAAAAGTGTTAAATAGCATAGGAACAAGAGCAGACTCCTATAAGATTTTGCTGAAAACACAGATTTATGAGCATTCTTTTGATGTTAAACTGAATTTTAAGTCTCGTCCAATTAGCTTTTTAATCCACCATACATTTTAAATACCTAAGGAGATGGTTTGTTATAATCTCTTCATTGTTGCATTCTTGTTTTGAGGCTAGCTAGAGACTTGATGTATTTCTTGGAGTCGGAATCTCCTCCCTTTGGATTTGAGCAATTCATTGATTTAATAATTGCACCTATTCTGCCCTGGGAGAAAGTACATCTAGTGTTCACCTCTAAAGTCTTTACAGTGCAATGTTCTCTTAAACAAGCTGTATGTATCTTAGATTCCTTATCAGTTAAAGCATGCAGCTGTGGACTGCAGGAAAAAAAATGCAGGTTGACAGTCCCATTTTGTGTGTGCTAGGTTTTATTTTCCTACTTTGTATAATCTTGCAACTATCTGCTCCCTGAAAGAAACACGTGGAAGAGTGAATGAGGCAGAGGTGGTGTTTGCCTGCAGGCTTGCCTGTGTCCTGTATCACTGGAAATTAAATGGAAAATTTATAGTACAAAGGCCAAATAAAAGATGGATTACAGCTGACAAGTGTAGTCAAACTCTATTGACATAAGTTTAGGTTAGAGACAAATAACTGCAATTATTCTGCAGTCACAGGTCTTTGTATAAAATATTACCCTAGTTATAGATAGTGTATGTGTGTTCATTTCTCTGTGGGAGACGGAGGAACAATGACCTTGTCGTTAGGGTGCTAGCCTGGGGCGTGGGAGACCTACGCTCAGTGCCTGTGTTGCTAGTTGAGTGCAGACTTCAGCATGTCACGACCCCAGATTTGCTTATCAGCATGAGGATAACAGTATATCCCTGTCTCACCAGAGTGCTGTGGAGAAAGATCTGCTAAAGATCTTGAGGCCTTCAGATGCTGCATTTGTGCAAGCTTTATAAATACTTTGGAAGACGAATGATACCTGGTGCTAATACCTATTACTAAAACTGTTTGGTTTCCTTCTGAAAAAGGATGCTTATTAGCGGACGGGTAGATGCAAGGAATTAATTGTTAGTCGGCAGTTCCCTTAATGCTCAGGCTTTTACTTACGTTTTGAAGGGAAGTGCAAGAAGCTCTTGCATTTAATATAACTCTAATTGTATGCAGTGTGTGTGTGTTTATATTTTTATATGTGTATATATATATATTTTTTTTAATAAAGATTTCACAAATTGAACGTAAGTTTTTTTTGTAAAAAAACTTGAGTCTTAAATTTCCAGGAGGCTACGTTGGGACAATTGCAGAGGGTGGCCTATTCTGTTATATCTGTGACCTTAGCATTTAGGATGTTGGTGTTACTGTTCAGCTATGGCAAATTCTGAGACATTAGGTGGTAATGGGATGGTATTTTCCAAGGACAGCAATGCTTGAGGTGAATGTGCTGCAAGTAATTTCTTCTCTGTTGCAGGTGTCGAGAAGGCTTTCTTGGAGACTACTGTCAGTACAGAAACCCCTGTGAAAACAATACTTGTAAGAATGGGGGAACTTGTGAAACTACATCCCTGATAGGAAAGGCTACTTGCAAATGTGCTCCAGGGTTCACAGGAGAGGATTGTCGATACTCTGAATCACACATCTGCTTTGTGTCCCAGCCCTGCCTGCATGGAGGAACTTGCCACCCCCACAACCAGGAAACGTATGAGTGCGTCTGTCCTCCAGGTTACACAGGTGGGATTCTGCATTTGTACCTTCAGACCGCCTGTTTTATGAACTACTTAATCCTAGAATATTCTGGGGCATTTGTAATGTACTCTCAAAGCTCCAGCACAGGAAATGAGAGGAAGTGCATATGACTTGATGACCAAAAAAGGGGGAGTAGGAGGTGGGCAAATCAAACTTGCTACCCTTTACTCTTAAAACAGGAAGGCATTTAGATCTTGTGGGGTTGCCTCCAAGGGAAAACTGACTGTAGAAGCTATTCTCGAATGGCTGTTGCACTTCAAATGCATAGTCTACCTTCTAGAAAAAAATGAAGTGAACTTGGCCAGCAGAATGTCTCTATGGAAAAGTTTTAATTTCTTGCCTGAGGGGAAGTAGGAAACTCAGTCCTTTCATTCTTGAACGGAATGTCGAAGAGAGTGACTGTTGGCATGTAGTATGGTTTCAGGTCATGGGTTATTTCTTATAAATCATGATATTTTATATCTTACTGCTAACCTATAAATGTAAAACAACTTCTTACTGTAACCAGCAAGTTGATTTTGTTTCAAAGACAGTACTGTAAAATGCAGACATAAATTAATTTTCCTGCAATACTTTTATGCGTGTACCAAATCTTCACCTAAATCCTTGTGAGGGAGCATGAAAGAAACATTTTCCATACGATTAGTTTCTTAATGTAACGCTCTGTCTTAATTTTACAGGGAAGGACTGCCAGTGGATTGATGCCTGTACGTCTCAGCCTTGTGCCAATGGAAGTACATGTACTGTATCTGGAAATAAGTTCTCCTGCATCTGTCCATCTGGCTACACTGGCCAGAAGTGTGAGATAGATGTAAACGAATGTGCCACCTTAGCCCTTTGTCAACATGGTGGGACCTGTGTCAATTTGCCCGGTTCGTACCGATGCCAGTGCAAGCCAGGCTTTACAGGGCATCGCTGTGAGAGCACATACGTGCCTTGTTCACCTTCGCCTTGTATGAATGGAGGGACTTGCCATCAAACCAATGACTTTACCTTTGAGTGCAACTGTCTGCCAGGTAAACGCTCCTTCTTCAAAGTGCTTGATTTTGTAGTCTTGTTGTTGGATTCCTGGCTGCAGTCTTCTGAAAGCTTCTCTCTTGGAATTTCTATGTGATACTGGTGTAATGTAAGAGCTGAAGGGAGAAGTCTCAGCAAGGCAGGGAGCTCAGATAGGATCTTACTTTCTGGGTGTCAGTATTTCATAATGTGAAAGGGGAGCAGAAGAAAGAAAGAAAGATTGAAGATGATGGGACTGGTTAGATCATCGATAGAAAACGGGAGACTTTTGGACCTCAGTTAGGGGCGAAGACTCAAATAATCAAATCGGTAGAAGCTATCATGTAGATATGAGGAGGCTAGGTTATCTCCTCGTGCCCACCTAGAACGCTAAATTCCGTGGTACATAAAAACTCTGAAGCCGTATAAATACGTGGTTTGTGTCAATAGAGGCCATAATTAACTACTTCAGTGTTTGAATGAAGACAAACGTTTTGTTTTTCCTCCTTCTCTGTCTTTATCTCTAAAACATGCTAGTCCTTATTCCCTTCTTCTTCCCCTCCCATTCCTCCGAATGTTATAGGATGTTATTTCCAACTCACCGTATCCTTTCTGTCCTGTGATGCCTTCAGGGAAGTTATGGCTGCTTGTTCTCTGGTGGCTTTATCTACCCTGAATTCATCCACATCAGGGATGGTGTCCTTACTCAGGATCGCGTGACGTGCTGTATTGGTTTTGTGTGTCGAGCTGGGCTCCACTTGCCAAGGGCACCTGTCTCTACAAATGACTAGCTCTCACCTGGCTGGGACCCTAATGAGCTCCTCCTACCTTGCTCGAGTTGTCATACTGACCACAGGACAGTACTATTCTTCTTTGTATATCAGGGTTTTCAGAGGATGAAATTTTTTACTGAGAGTGACTCAACCCATGGGAAAATGATTGTTTGGTGCTTCTTTTGACTAGACTTCCTACTTCCTACTTGAGTGTATTGCAGTCTGGCACATGAACGTTTAGTGTGTGGCAATCTGGAAAACTAAACTCTCTTCCCTTAAGCATTTGTTTTTGTTATTATTTGTATGAAAGATGTAGCTGCCATATACTGTTTAGGATGAATGTTGAGAGAGTGGATTCTCTTGGGGGTTATCGGCAGTCCTAGGTATGTGCAGAAAGAGTATTTAGAGCTTGACTTGTGAGAAATGCTCTCTTCTCAGAGACCTTTGTATTGAAGTACTGGCTCAAGTGACCTTTAATGTAAGTTGCCAACCTTAGCTGGTGTCTGCACAACATGTTTCAGGGTAGTCTGAGCAGACATGTGACTTTGAAGAATTTAGGAAAGTTGATCTTAAAATAGAAAGTTGTCTCATCTTTATCTTTGTGTGAAAGCAACCTTTTCTAACTATGCTCGAAGAAACAACGCTCGAAGAGACTGAGTCTTTGAAAACTTCGTATCCTAACTGATTGTTGCTTTCAGGGAACTTACTGCTTTTCCATTTTGCATGTTTTTAAAAGGAAACTGTAAACTGGGTATTTCTGGATTAAAAGGCTTGACTAGTTCCATCGCTGAAATAAAATTGTCTTAAATTCAAATCTGTTTTGCTAGTATAAAGTATTTAAGATATCCTGCAGAAGCAGCATGGTGGGAAGAAGAGGAGAGGAAGATGAAGTGTAAAGGACTTGATCCTGTAAGAGGGGTAGTACAGTTTGCATTAGTGACTCTTACAGGGATGCAAGACTGGGTAGGAGCACATTTCCCTTAGACAAGCGTGTGGGCTGGCTAAACTATGGTCAGGAAATGAAAAGGAGATTGCTATAGTAACAGTTACACACACCCACACTGCTCTCACACGTTTTTGGATTATTAGCTGCTTTTTTGGACTTGTTACACAACATGAATAATGTGGGTGAGTTAATGCTGGTTTGAGAGCCTTCATTTCTGTATTTCCTGTATTTAAGTTGGCCATGTTTTGCTAACTTTATTTTTAAAAGTAGTCGTATGAAAAACAGCAAAAAAGGGAGAGTTTGGAGAGGCCAAAATGCTTACGCTAACCTATTTGATAAGGGCAAGGCATCCAGCCATTTCTTCCCTCTTACAGTGAAGTGTGTACCACTAAATTTCTGAAGTGTTGGAAAGGGTTTTGTCTGGGAAGGAAAGGTCAATAGAGAGAGGAGAAGTGGTGGCCTGTCACGCACTGGGAAGATGTGAACAAGTCCTGCTCATCTGGAAGAGAGTGCCAAGATCATGGGCTAGGAATTCCTCTTTATTTTCCCTCTCTGCATGGGAGTAATGCCGATGATACTGTGACTATAAATGGAATTGCTCTAGCCCTTCTTTCTGGACTGGATTAAGATGTTACCATAGCTCAGCATTGTGGTGGTAGAGGCAAAAGGTAGTGATGTCTTGAACTGCTTGAATGATTTTTTGATAAGACCTTGCATCTTGTGACCTGTGATGCTGCTTTGAAGAAACTGCTTATGTCCAATCAGCAACTTGAGCATAATAAAATTACTCCTGGACTGGCCCTGAAATGGCTTCTTATTTCTTGTAGCTGTTCTGATCTCTTCTGATTTGGTCAATGGCTGGTCTTCCACTGGAAATACTAAAACTTGATTTTCTTTTATTAGTAGTAGATAAATATACTCCGTATGTTGTTATTATCTCCGTACGTGTATAATTTTCACCAGTAATGGAAACTGCTGAAGTGGTTATGCTCACACTTAAACCAGAACAAAACCCCTTTTACGTGAAATTCATTTTTTTTTTTTTTGGGTAAATGTAGGCACATGAGAATGAGAGCTTGAAAACATGGGGGTGGGAAGAGGGGGAATCCATGGAGTTACACATGTAACAACAGCTTTTTCTACAGTAGTGCAACTACCGTTTATGTACGGTAGAGTCAAGCTGATATTTTTTTTCAATTCTCAAGTTCCCAAATCAGTTTTGAGTTTACACGAACCAAATCTTGCATTAGATAACTTTAAAAGACATGGGTATTGGAAGATGTCAGCATTTAGTGACAAGTGTAGCTGAAGAATTATTTGTGCTCTCCGTATTCTGTCTGTATGAAAGGTAACTTGATCTATATCCATCTACCATAATCATATTTTTCCTTTGGGCTTTATGGATTTAAATGAAACAAGATTGTAGATAAGTAAGAAGCATGTTGGGTGAATCATAATAGATAGCTGTAGTAATAAATACTTCCGTGAAAGAGATGTAACCTGAAGCATTAACAACTCCTTTAAATATAAAAATGAGCTCGTAGTTATAAATATTTGACAAAAAAGGAGTTCTTTTGGCAACTAACCCTTAATGGAATGTTAAACAAGTCAATAGAGGAAGTTCTTAGCTGGGAAAGTGATTATTCATTGTTATCCATCAAAATAATTACCCATTAACTAAGATAAGAACCCTAGGGAATTCCAAGAGCTTGTTCAGGAAACTATCTGTCAAACTAGAATAGACTGTTTATGGGAACTGCAGCGCTTCCTGGAAAGAGGAAGTAACCTCGTGGCGTTTCATAGCACAGTGTCAAACTGCCCCTCGCTGTGGAGTGCGCGTTGTGGCCTGAAATGTGGCCTGAAGGGCGTGTTGAGTTAGAGGTGTTACGTCATGGGTGATGTCTGCAGTGTAGGGATGACCCAGGGATTTTGAAACATGAGCTGCTTATGGCGGGGTATGAGGTACTGCGTGGCAACAGCAGTGTTGTGGTGCCAGTCTCTGCACGTGCTTTTCTGCTCGGCATGAGATGGCTTAACTCTTTTACGTTGAGCAGCCTATCTCGCATCTATTTCCAGAAGCTCAACTGTCCGAGTTGCATGCAGACAACTACCATTGGGCACCTGGTATGCAGAAACTTATTTATGCATTGATGTGGTCAGCATTAGTGTTCTGCATTGAGGTGCTTAATTTCTAGTGAGCGATCCCTGAATCTGGCAATAACTTGGAATTCTTGTTCAGGTGCAACTTTCTGCCCCCATACCTTATTGGTCCTGCAGAAAGTCTAAGGAAATTCTTCTAAAATTTGGAGGAATTTGGATATGGTGCTATGGGACGGGATGGAGTTCTTCAGCTGACATAAGAGTGAATCTTTCTACTCTCGTCCCTCTTGGTGTACTAGAGAAGGAGCAGCATGCCGTTAGCTATGGGAACGCTTTCCCCCTTGAGGTTCTTATTCCTCAGTTTTCTGTGCTTGGAGATGTAGAGCAAAAGTCAGAATATGTACTGCAAACCGTTATCTCGGAGAGAGAACGGGAAAGCAAAGGACAACATGTCAGTCCCAGCATGGGGGAAACAGGAAACTGTGTCAGGTGTCCAAACACATCAAAGCCGTGAACTCTTTGGCCTTCTGGAAAAGAATCAGATTGTGTAACTACAGAATCAGATCCAGGGACCCGGTTTAAGAAAAATGTGGGATACTGCTCACGTGTCTTAAAGCAACTTTGTGCTTGTAATGCTCAGTCGAAGATGCATTAGCTCAAAGAGCCGTGACTTAAAAGGACTGATTTTGAAAATGAAAGCTAAACTTCCTTAGGACAATTTTGTTTAGAAACTAAGCAGACCACAATATTGCAGTGTGTATCAGGCTTGAAACAAACACTAAAAGCATGTTTTAACATGCTTTTTAAAGCTTTTAGATATTCTGAAACAAAGCCAAAGTTGTTCCTTCAGAGTGAGGAAAAAATTGAAGGGAATTAGGGAGTTGGGAAGTTACCAAAAAGGAAACTTGCATTTTCTTCCGCAGTACAAGCAGTACACTCAAATAGTGTCATTGTCAACATGCCAGTCCTTCCTAATTCCTTTCCCTTGGAGATATCTTTTTGACCAAGTACACTTGGCTATTTGTTACTGCCCTTGAATCTTTTACTATGTCACTTTTTTTTTTGAGAACTGTTTTTTTTTTTTTCTCCTCTTCTGTGGTATTATCTTGCTTCTGGGGTGGGATTAAGTGCTTCATGTAGTTGTATGAGGTGTTTGAGGGCCAGCTGTTAGACTTTAGTATAGCTGATGAAAATGTAAAAAAAACGTGCAACGGCTTGATGAGGTTCTACTACTGCAATGACTTCCATACTATAGTATTGCTCAGAATCATTGGGACACTCTAAATTTGCATGCAGTGCGATGAGATGGTTTTAAATAAATGCCTGTAGCAAGTACTTACTAGAAAGTGGGATCGGTCTTCATGTTGCTTGAGCTCAGATGACAGGAACTCCAACCATTTGAGCTCATGATTCTGGGTACTTTTCCATGCCTATCACATTGCTAGCACGAGTGGAATGTGGGATCAATGGGATGACTCTCCTTAAGCCCAAAAGCAAGTTGGTAGGACACTCATGTTTTGTGTTATATGGCCGAGCCTTTGGTCATGCTTGTTAGCTTTATACCGTTTTAAATATAGTGATCTGATACTAACTGTGTTCCTTGGTTGTCGCTCCTGGGCAGTTCTTTGCCAGGAAGGTGCTACTGCAATGAATTGGCTTCATACCAGCTTGTCACATTTCTTCCTGGTTTTAGCCTTCCCTACTGCTGTGAAATCTACAGACTCTTGAATGAAGGTGGGAAGGGCTTTGAAGGAAGAGGGTAATGTTACAGGTCTTTTTGACAGAAGTAACGTTGAAGCCGTTCTTCCCTTGCTTGTGGGTCATATAGCACTTGATGCAGCTAAGCAACAGTGCTCCTCTTCCCTTCTGACTCTTAACCTCTGGTATTGGAGAAGTTGGAGATGGGAATTGGTATGGATCTTTTCCAGTCTCTTTAGCCATAGTCTGGAGAAGTTGCTTCAGAGCTTTGCAGGCTCAGTCTCATCTGTCACATAACAGGATCTCTGTGGGACCAGATGTTGCTTAGAGGGTCCGTGTGACTTGACACAAATGTAACAGACCCGTCTGGAATGCAGCATTAAAAGTAGAGAGTGGTTCAAGAGGGGGTTTGGGATGAAAGGCCTGCGTCATGTTAATGTTGCATTCCAAAGTAGTGAAGAGGCAAAGCTGATGTTTCAAATTAATCTCTGCATTCTGGAATTATTTACTTCATCCGTATTAACATGCATCCACTTGTACTTTGATAAATAGCTATCTCGTCTAACAGAAATGGCAGGGTTATTCGATGAAGCATGAGGTAAACCAGCAGGGGAAATCTAGGGGAAGACGGAGCATTGATGAGACTCTTCCATAATGTCCCTGTTTTTCCCACCAGTTTAAAGAGAAAAGGAAATCTAGTGGAGGAGAGAAAAGGCGTTTTGCCAGCGTGACTACATCAGGACCCTTGATTTTCTTTGGGGAGAGTGTCTCCCTTCTCGTTCAGGGCTTACTTTATAAACATTAACCACATAACGCGGGTGGTGTCCGATTTGTTGATTGGCTGACTTGTCAAACACCAAAGAGGGCCGAATCAGGAATCTGAATGCTCATTTTCAAAGCATAAAAGGCTTTGCTTTGACATAGCCAAAGCAAGCATTTGAACAATCCTGAGATGTTCGTAAAGTGAAGACCAGGCCCTTTCCCTTTTTTTACGGTAGGGAAAACTAGTCTTGGATGGTGCTCTTACCACTGCTGGTTGGGCAGTGAAAAGTTTACCTCCTAAAACACTAAATCTCTTCGTCTGCACTTTGTTTGCTTTCAAAGACAACGCTCGTTATTCACTTAAGTTTAAAAACCAAGAAACCCCTTGTCTTCGTTTTGGTGAAAACATGGTTAATCATCTTCTACCCAAAGCAGTCAGGTTTTAATCGTGTAATCTGACCTGCACATTTGATAATGCAAAGGCATTCTCCCAAGTCACTGGTCAGCTTGCTACGCTGAAGTTCATCAGGATTAGGTTGGCATGGCAATTAAAAAAGAAAATGGAAAAGAAAAAGCTGTATAGAGAATTAATTCTCTGTGAAAGAGACCTGAAAGCCTGATTCAGCTTCCTGATTTTCTACTTTTTCTAGGTTTTGAGGGAAGCATCTGTGAACGGAACGTCGATGACTGCCCCAACCATAATTGTCAAAATGGAGGTATATGTGTGGATGGTGTGAACACGTACAATTGCCGCTGCCCACCACAGTGGACAGGTATGTACTATGGAAAATGCTCCTGTATGAGCTGAACTAGCTTTATTGGGAATGAACTGCGGGACTTCTGGCCTTCATCCTATATACGGCACGAGCTGCAAGCGGCTGAATGTAGCTCACACCCGTGCTGTGGTGTACAGTCTGTGGGTAGATGTCACGCCCTTACGCATCAAAGCCACTACAATGCAGGGCGGTTTCCCCTTGCGCTAGTCAGTATTACGGGCTTACGTGGGCATGGTTATGACAGACAGACAGGTACTGTGATTCCTGAACGGCAAGGCAGTGTGACTATCGGAATTGCACTTCTGCTTGTATAGGTTGCTTTGTATGGGATAAGTGTTTTTGATGTTACAGGTGCATGTATTAGAGGTGCTTTGCTGACGCATTTTGGGGTATTTTTAACCTGAGATGATAATCCTCATGTAGATGATGGTAACACCGCTGCAGAACCAGGCAAATCTAGAATAGCATAGTGAGGAGAATGGGAGGGAAGAGAAAGAAAGAGCGTGTACGGGAAGCTTGTTTTTCTGCAGTGGCTGGCTTTTTAACTGGAGTTTTGTGACTGGCAAAGTTACTTTTGCTTCATAAATGAGTCTGCTTTGCATTGAGTCTATGTGGGGGGAAGAAGTGAATTTCAAGAAAGCATTATGCCTGATGCAAAGAAGCAGTTTACAGGAAATTCAGTGTCATCTTCAGTCACAAAATGTCTCCATACCTCAAAAATAAACAAATACCTCCGGTTTGGGGTTTTTTTTTTTTTTTGAGTCATACTAGTCATTCTTGGCTGGCACACTGTTTCAGTTAAGTATAATATTGCCCTTCTTTCGAAATCATTGAAAGTTTTAAGGCTGTGTCTTTATCTAACAGAGGTATAGACTTAACTGCATTTTTTTCCTCTTATTTAGTAAATTGGGGTATTTGGGGGGAGCTGACCCTGAACTAGCTCCTCAGGTTTCCTTGAACACATTTTGCCCTGTATCTAGATAATATTGTGTTTTAAACCTGAACATCTCTAAATTTGTCTGAGCTACCAATCACTAATGTGAGGAGTCTGACTTCTGTAGACCAGAGCATCGTTCCTATTATAAAACAGTTGTCCTTAACTGCAAAGGAGGCCTGTCGGTTAAAAAAAAATCATTAGCTTTAAAAATCTATATATTCTTAAATGAATTAAAAACCACGTGAAAGAATGCAACGCACCACTGCTTGTCTAGCTCCTTGAAAGTTGGTGTAAATAGGAGAAAATCAGTCCTGCCCTTGATGAGCAAGCACCCTTTCTTCTCTGCTGTTTCGCTGTCTGCATGAGCTTAAAGCTTGCAGAAAGTGAAATCTGCAAAGGAAAACAAAGCAAAAGAGCATGGACAAGGAGCAGATAACCCTTCATTGACCCCGAAAATCTTGCTCCGCGCTGCAGAAGTTGTAAACCTTGTTAGGGCTTCTAGCTTCTATCTGTTGTAAATTAATCTCTGGATTCTCCCTGAAGCGTAGAGGATATGATGGATCAGAGTGTTTTGCAGCATGAGTTTAAAGCATAAAAAGGGTTGCTTTGCTTTTGTAAAGGCATCATCAGCTTTACTCGATTTACAGGATTTGGGTAGGTGATTGCTGTCGACAAGGGACACGACTTTTGCAACTCACCTGGCAGAGGGCTCAGTGGTGATAGGCTGCGATTCTGTTTGGTCTTGTGGTAGATTGACTCTCCAATTAACTGCTGAAGTTCATTGCGGTGTGGTTGGTGGTTCTCACTTCTGAAACTCTTATGGCCCCTGACTGACCAGCCCTGGGAAGAATCGTTATATCCCTGTTGTGGCCTAGTGTTGTGCCATCCTTCTTTTTTTGTACGTGGGCTGCCTAGCAAATCTTGCGTGCGTGAAGGGTGCTTCTCTTGTGAAATCCTGAAAAGAGAGAGGCGCTCCCCAAGGCTTAGGTCCCCATAGCTTTCCAGAACAATATAAAGGAATGGGTTTTCTGAGATTTCCCTTCCTTTATAGTGAAGCTAATATTATGAGCACAGCACTGGTTTCAGTTAATGGCTTCTCAGAGTTGTTGATTTTCTAAACTTCAAGAAGCGGAACTAAACTTTTGGAACTAAAATTGATCTCTCTGTTTCAGAAATAGCCACTTAGCTGCTTGAACTATGAACCATCGGAGCTTTGAGGGAGTTGAATTACCTTGTCTGAAGTGAGCAGTTTCAGTTTTGGTGTTCGAACTAAAACATGAGTATCTTAGTCGGGAAGCAGCTAAGGTTTTTCATGTCATCTTTGCATATCCTTCATTGCATCTGCCATATGCAGGACTGTAGCCCTGTGCCCTTGTCCACAGGGTGTCTTAGCAATAACCATTCCTCTGCTGCTGATCTGAGTGTTTTTGGAGGCTGAGGGCTAGTAATGGCAGTGGAGGACTGTATTTGAGACCGTCTCTGTGCAGTTTTACTTGAAAGTCTGTGTGCTGAAAAGCTTTTGGCCAGCTGGTCTGCAGTAATTTGCCTGATAAACGTTTGGGCAACTGATGCTAACCCGTGGTGCTCCAGCATCCTGTCCAGCTTCACACTGAACGCAGCCATGTAGTGCAAGTGGACAGGTCTCGTCATCTAAATGTCTCTTGTTTTTAATGTAGTCCTGCGGGTCATCCCAGTTGTGACCTGCTCGGTCATCTCAGTAGCCTTTCCTTAAAAGAAATTTGTTTCTCTGAATGGGCTTCAAACTCTTTCCTATGCCTTCCATAAGAGACCAGGAAGAGGCAGGATGGTAGTCCATCTCCATCTAGGGACAGAGGCGTGACACGCGAGATGTGCTTGCTAGTTACACTGACACCTGAAGTGTGCAAGAGCAAGCAGGACGGGGCTGTTGATAGTGTTTGAACAAGGAGGCAGCATGTGGTCAGAGATGTCTGAGTAAGAGAGTGTTATTTGTGCCTAACTGAAGCAGGGCACAAAAGTGGGAAAGTAGGTTAAAATAGTTTGAAGAGATATGGTTTTTCAAGATTAAACTCCTGATTCCGAGAGGAGCAAAGAAACTTCAGTAAAAGAGTTACTCGGCAATAAGGAAATGTTGTGTAAGTACAGGTCCATCCTTTGTAAAAACATGGCTTATAACACCGTAAATCATCTAAGGTAAGTGATGAAGATAGGAGTGAACAAACAACTTTTCTGGAATCTGTCCTGGTGGCTGCTTATAACGCAGCAGTGTGGAACTGTGAGAGAGTCAACACTTCAGAAAACCAAAAGCCTCAGCTGAGACCTTGACTTTAGAGGACACTGGGTGTTACTTTAATTAAATAAAAAAAGAGGGAGGGAGGGAGAGAGAGAGAGAGAGTAGGGCCCCTTCCCATGTGTTTAAAAGCAAAAAGTTGTTAAATCTCTCAAAATACTTTCACCACGTAGACATGCAGTCTTTGTAACAATTCTTCCGCAGTCGTCTTTCTAATGCTTATTTTTCAAGTAGTCCTGGAAAAGTTTAAATTGGACTATTTGCAGTCTTAGTTAAGATTTAGTCTTTGTGCTGTGGATGACATTTTAGCATGTTTGTTAATATAATTTGCACTTCATAGCATACAGAAACCAGTCCCATTCCTTGCTAAGGAATCAAGAAGCTGCACTCCATCCAGTGAAGCAGTTTTGTGTAAAGCAATATCAAAGCATCCTTTACTGAAACAGAGTCTGTCGCAATTCCTTTTGGAAACCAGCTGCCTGTTGTGATTCCCAGACAGGTGGTAGACTGGAGCACGTAAGCGTGCATTTTTTTCTGCCTGGTGCTAAAACCCAGCTTTTGAGACTGCTTGCGTTCAGCCTCTTTTCCTGCTCCTTTAACAGAGCTGACTGCTCCCTTTTTGTTGAAGCTGTTCCTTCTCTTTCTCCTTTGCTGCTTTTATTCAGAAAGATAAAAATCTTGCCTTTCAGAGACAATGACCAGAAATTCCTGTTGTCACTAATATGTTTTTGTAACCTCCCAAGGTCTCATGTTTCATGCAGTTCTAATGATGGTCAACCTCCTGAGTTTGTAATTGGCAAGGCAGTCTTTTGGGCATATTTGGGGAGGAAACTGTTCCCCAGATATTCCCAGGTGCTAAATGTTAGCTGATTTCCCCCCCCC